GCAAGGCCCTAACTCTCTTCAATTATATGAAGGCTGACAGAGATGAGGAAGCTGCAGAAGAAAAGAAAAGAAGCTGCAGAAGAAAAGAGGTTGATTCATGAGGTTTAAGAAAAGAAGCTGTCTCCATACATAAAAATGCAAGATGAAGTAGCAAGTGCTGATGGAGAAGCTACAGCAAGTTATCCAGAAGATCTAGCTAACTCATTTCTTAACTTGGTCATGTTTTTATAGTTCAGAAACAATTTTATACCATGTCATCTTCTGGCCTTTAAAAACCACTTTTCTTTCTTGTAAAGTACAAATTAAAGTAAAAGAGCTCTAACTGCTAAAACCTTGCCCTTACTTAAGATTCCTAGCAATTAGGACTATTCACAATTGGTGGCTCTAATATTTCCCAGTTACCCGCTCAAAGATGGTATGATAACACCATCATCAAAAATGTAACAAAAACCCTTGAAAGAAATAAAACTGAGGTGGTAGAGGAAAAAAAAAGTTCTCTTAAAACGAATCTATGCAAATGCAGGTGTGATATATTAATAACTATACATACACAGTTTTTTTTTTCAGGAACTACACAAAAATCAGCCTATAATGTGTCTTCTGAGTACCTATACCTTCTCCAGGGACTGTCAGCCAATCATTCTGAATCCCCATTTCCAAAGTCTTCTAATTCCTGGGGTTGGTTTTCTTCTGGGCTTCTCTCACTGTCAGCCTAGGTTTTAGTTTTCTCCGTTGGTTAAGTCAGTTACCACTCATCCATTTGCTTTGCTGCTTCCAAAATTTTGTTGCTATTGTCTCCTCTTCCATCTCTTTGTCTTTTTTTTTGTTGTTGTTTTTAATCTCTTCACTGTCACTTTAGTGGTATTTCAGGAGAAAACAGGCAAATGTGGCTTAATATGTCCTGTTACCTGTTACTTTCCCTTTCCCAGCTTTTAAAAATTGCAATTATCCTATTTGCAAATCGTTGCCTTTATATACTGGGTGTTTGAGTGCTTAAATGTATCATTTGGTCCATGGTTTATAATGGGTTAATGAATCACAAGAGGACATACCTAGACTTAATCCAGATGATCCCAGTTTCCACAGCAAATGGATAAGACTCTTGGGAAGGGATGGGCACATGTGCAGCTTTACATGGAGAGCTGCCTTTTATGAAGGAGGAAAATTCTGGAAGTGAAACCGTGTAGGAGAAGGTGTGTGTGTGTGCATGTGTACACACTTTTGCACACATCTATAAGCTGGGTAGCAAAACAAGGACCTGTTATTCTTCTTTCCCAGGATCTCTTTCTTTTTATTATTTTCTTTCTTAAAGACAGGGTCTTGCTATGTTGCTCAGGCTGGCCTCAAGTGATTCTCCCGCTTTAGCCTCTGGAGTAGCTGGGACTACAGGCACACACCAGCATGCAGGGCTTCTCTCCTATTCTTGACAGTATGCCCTTCTTGGGGAGGTTCCTCCCTGTGCTCTGACATCACAGGTCTCATGGGCATGGCCCAGCACATACATGAGGATGAGCAATAACACAAGTCAAGAAGACAAGAATCCTTCCTTGGATTTGTCTAATGCAAAGGAGGCAAAGCACAGCCCCTGGAGTGGAAAGGCTGTGGATGTGTCTGAAGCCATCAGCAGCACTGGAAGTAGCTATTCTGCAGTGGGAGGGAGTGAAGACAGCACCCTCAGAGAAGCAGCTCAGAGAGGGAGGGCAGCCTGGGGCATTCCAAGCACTTTTGTGATCTTATACACTCCTGCCTTTCCCTTTTTGTTTTTGCTTTTGCTTTATGGGTTTGTGTCTTTTAAAGTTAGATTTTAATACTTGAAATTAAAAGAGTTGTAACTAATATACTAACCAAATGCATAAAGCAAAGTTTCATATTGAAGGTTTTGTTACTGCCATAGTTATAATGAAATTCCCACAGAATGTAAAGGGTTATGTATCCATAAATACTGAAAGCTAAGGCTTTAGAAGACATTTAAAAAATAAAAATACAGAAGCATTAGCATCATTTTCCATATTGATCTGAATAGAAAGCAACTTAGAATAACACAACAGTACAGTACATACTAGCATACTCACATTCTGAACATTGGGGGAAAAGAGGGACAGATGCAGGCCTACAAGAAAGTTAGACAGGGGAGGAGGATTTTAAGCCAGTGTTTTAAAGCTTTGTAAGTTTTCTCGTTTGTTTTTAAATGTACTATTCTGATGGTCTTAAAAGAAATCAAATTTCAAGAAACTAAGGCAAAGAAAAAAATTTCTTTTCAGTTATAGAATATCAATATGGGGATATTAAAAAATATTATGAGCCAGTGTGGTGGCTCACACCTGCCTGTAATCCTAGCACTCAGGCAGGCTGAGTCATGAGGACCACTTGAGGTCAGCAGTTCAATACCAGCCAAGACTGAGACCCTGTCTCTACTAAAAACAGAAAAAATTAGCCAGGCATGGTGGCACACACCTGTAGTCCCAGCTATTCAGGAGGCTGAGGCAGGAGGATCACTTGAGCCTAGGAGTTTGAGGTTGCAGTGAGCTATGATGATGTCACTGTACTTTAGCTGGGGTAACAGAGAAAGACTCTGTCTCAAAAAAATAAATAAATAAATAAAAAAGTATCATGGAGGGCAAATCCCTAGAGTAGAACCGCAGAAGGATCTCACTTGATAGCCAGCATCTTTGCCATTTATAAGGTCTTAGGTAAAAAGGAACCCTTACATTGAGATCGTCTTTCATTTGGACTAATACAGTATTACTTTTGACTACTGAGGTTATACTGTTTTTATACACATTGCCTATTGAAAAGGTAGAAACTGGATCTCTTTAATTTTTCCTGCACTTTTGTTACTGTGCATGTTCTTATATGATTCAGTGATTTATGTCTCATGATGAGTTCTAAAGGAAGTTTCTTATTTCTGGCAAGAGGCTCTTCCCCTTGGAGGATCCCTGCTTCAGTGGGGTGAGGCTCCTGGCTCACAAGCAGCAGACTCTGGAGACACAGGTCTGACCACATTCAGAGGAGGGAAGAAAAACTGATGTGTCCCTGAGGACATAAATAGAATGCTATCTGGAAACTTAAAACTATTTGGTTACTGGGGCCATGAAAAGCCAAGTCTATGAATTATATAATTAACATCCACATGGCATATCACAATCTCATTCTTAATAGAAATGAAATCTATTATCCTAAAGACTACATTGGTAGAGTAGGGGCATCTTGCTCCCATGTAGCCCTTACTTAAGTCAATGTTCTTCTTGATCTATCACAGAGCTCAACCTGGTCAGTCCTTAGATAGCCTATGATAACCACCTCTAGGATTGACTAATTCCATCCGGAAAGAGGTGCTAGCTGAAATGCTGAATTTAAAATAAAATCTTAATCTAGGCTATGCTAGATTATCTGAAGCAGGTTTCAAAACTGGCAGATATCCATTTTGTGACTGACAATAGCAGCTGGCCACTTATAATTAATCCTGGAGCTTAATACAGTAAGCCTAAGGGTTAGTCTTCTCCAGAGGTGGCTGTGATTATTAATGCTCCTGAATCTCTTCTTTTAGTTTTCTTAAGCAATAAGACATTGTCCAGAAAGTCGTACTCCCTCTAATAGCCGCCAGCAGCTATCTACCAGTTCTATCTTTAAGTACTGGATACCAGGAGAAGGGGGGAAAAAGTCTATGCTCTAATGCACTGTACCACTCAACTGTGCCCAAAGCAGCAGCTGGCTGTTTCCCTGCTAGAAGTGTCCTGATGAGGCTGTAGAGAAGGGCTCTTACCTGGTCAGCTCCCGAGTCTCCATCTGGATAATGCTGTACCATCAGGTCACTCTGATTTATTAAGTCCTACCTAAACCCTCTCTTCCAGGGTAGCCCTTCAGTTTACTCCTTAGCTTCCTTCTCAGGCTATTTCACAAACTTGCTCCATGATAAGAATCACTTGAAATAGTTGTTTAAAATGTGGCTTCTCAAGATCCTATCCTTGGAGACTCCGATTCACTGGCTCTGATACTGTCCCAAGTAATTGTGTTCTTAACAAGTGACCCAGGTGAATCTTCCCATGGTCAAGTTTGAGAAATGTTGTTCTAGGAGTTTTAGCCAATCGGAATAAACATTGTTGGTTTTATGTACTATACACTAAGTCAAAATATCATTAAGCAGACGATATTTCTATAGCTGAATGAATCCAAAGCAATCAGGACATATGGCACAAAGCAAAGTGTTTCCCCCCCAGGAAGGACTTGGGGGGTGGGTTGGAATGTCTTTTGTGGTTTTCTTCTTTTTGAGTGATGACTGTTAGAAAGAATTCTTTAATAGTTGTGCCCTTGAGGAAGTTTCTGCATTGCTCTGGTCATGGAACAGCTTAAATCAAATAGAAAGTAAGCCTTTTTGTATTATTCTTTTTAAGTCTTGCCTAAGAGAATTTTGGAGAAAAGTAAATTAAATAAAGAGAGAAAGAAGTACACAGTTCTCATTCCTTGAAGGACCCTAAAGCAAACTCCCTATACTTAGAGAGTTGGACTCAAAAGGCCTTTCAACTTAAATGTTTATGACTCATATATAGAATGATTTAGGAGAATATTTTATAAGGGATTAATTCAACTTACATAGTCTAATCAGAAAGCAGAAATGATCTTTGACACTCAAAGAACTCAAATGAAAAACTGTTGAAACTCATGATTATCAAAATATCGTTTAAGGTAAAAAAAAAAAAAAAAAAGATCTCAAACATGCCTAATCTTCTCTGACACTATGTTCACTGCTTGTCACAAAAGCAGTTTCCACCCGAGAGACTACTCAAAGCCAAACTTCAATTGCTATATTTATGAGTCAGTGGGAGAAAAAAAGGAAGATTAAAAAGTATAAAATAACATTAAAAGACAGTCAAGGGAAGAAAAGCAAGCTAGTTCTTTTTGTCCTGTGGACTGATGCTTTGCAGGCCTCATTTCTGAACAGGGCGGGTTGCAAATCAGTAGCAGAGGCCTAGACCCAACTCTGAGGCACCAGACATACATACCTCTTGGTGGGAGTGGGCACTCCAGAGGACATGTGGCTAACCATGGTGTCATTCATATTAGTCAGAGGACGAGGAGGACTGAAAGAAAAGACATTTACCTTATATTAATAATTACCAACACGACTAAGGGAAACAAGTGAAAAAGCGATAAGGGCAAAGGAACCAACTATCATTCCTGATAAGCACAATGTGAACCTTGGGGAGCAGGGTTAGAAATCGATACTTCAAGCCTAAGTAAATTCAACAAGAAGGGGTTCTCTCTCACAAAGCGCTGTAGGGTACCAGGAGAAGCAACTATAAACTCACTACTATAGGACGTAACCTTGGTGACTTTTGCTTTGTAGTTTTAGTATATAAGAATCTGAATTCTGAGACAGCTAATTTCTCTACATTTTAGGTACAGGATTACTAGGTGTTTGGCATTTGTTGTATATTACAAAGGTCATAACATCAGGAAGCATGCTTTTCCTAAGATTTGGTTAGAGCTCATAGCCTTCCCTCAGATTTACTTTGCAAATTTTTTACTAAAATAATTAAACTGTTAAATACCAAATTCAAAAATAAGACTCTGAAACAAAGTTTTATCAATCCTTTATTCAAATCTTAACAATGAATCCAAATTTTATACCTATACCCTAATTAGAATGCTGTCTTTTATAAACCTAACCCAGATTTAAATTTGAAGGTAAGCACTTTTGGTAACTTGTCTTTAGCTGCTGATTTTCTGGACTCAGGGTCTATTTCTCCTTCTTAAAGTCCCCTGAATAAAAGAATCCAAACTATCAAAAGGAGCCTATTATCTTGCCTTCCAGCTATTCTTCAACCCCTCTCCCTCTACACCAGACAAGTTTCTGTCTTTCATTGGAAGCCACATGACCATTGCTAAATATTCCTCCTGGGAAATCTCTCACTTCCTCTTTTAAACTGGAAGAAGTACAGTCATGCATTGCATAATGACATTTAGGTCAATGATGGACTGCATATAATAGATTATAATACTACATTTTTACTATACCTTTTCTACTTTTAGATATGGTTAGATACACAAATACCATTTTGTTATGATTGCCTCTAATTCTGTACAGTCACATGCTGCACAGGTATATAGCCCAGGAGCAATGGGCTACACCATATAGCCTAAATGTGTAGTAGGCCATGCCATCCAGGTTTGGTAAGTACATTCTATGGTGTTCCCACAACACGAAATTGCCTAATAATGCATTTCTCAAAATATAACCAATTTCATTTCTGGTTAGGATTTCTTTTTTTAATGATTTTCCATCTGATCGAGATGATCCAAGATGGAAAGTAACTTGCTGGCAACAGATTTAGGTCTCTTGATTTTTAAGCCATAGTTACGCTTATTGTTCTACATTTCTCCCTTTGTGTGACAAGTCCCTAAGTAAGACATTCAGAATTGACACGTGCCTTTCTAGGCTAGAATTCAATTCCAAGTTATCTGATTACCTGTCTTTCAGACAGATATCCAATTATGTCCCCAAACTTTCCAGCCTATTAATGCTAGTGGCTTTGCTCAGTTATAATCAATTAATCAATTGTTTCAGGTTGACTAATGATGGAAATGAATACAGAGATTAGCTTATTTTTAGTTCTAAATTTATATTTTTACCTCTGGTTCTTTTAAATTAATTGTCCAACTGGAACAAGGAGACAATTCCTAAGAAAGAACCAAATCTATCATAACAGCTTTCTGGTCCAGGAAACAGAATGGCCTTTGCTTCTTTAATGTATTATTAAATATTATTATTAGCAACCCATTTTCAAAATAAGATAAGGACATTTTCATGTTGATTTCAGATCTAGTACAGTTACCTAGTATATTTCAATATTAAAGATACCACTGCATTCAATTTCCTTTCTGACATTCTCAGAGGAAAAATTGACAGTAATTTTTTTTAATTCCTTAAACATGGATCCATGTAATAAAATTTCATGATTTATAACATTTTTTTGGTCTGATGCCACAAAAGTCTTTATAATCATCTCCATCTCTTGGCAGATATCATGTTCAACTATCATAGCATACATATCAAAGTCTCTGCTCTAATATTTAAAACCAGACAGTAATAATTACATTGTAAACTGTAAACTTATCATAACTGCCCTTAAATGTCATACCCTTTCTAAACTCCTACCATGTTTTGCTGGAGGGACAGGTGTGTGTTTGCAATTCAGGGTGAAAGAGACATTTGCAAACTGAAAGGTTTTTACTATACGATCTCCACTAGAACCACTTCACTGTACAAGCCAACAGCTCAGATGCATTCTTAGGTGTAACACATCAAAAATGACTTCTGACTCAAAAAAACCACTTCACGGTTCTTGTAAGACACAGCTAAAAAGAATACTTCCAGGTGTAATGTAGACATTAATGATACAAGTTATAGAAACTTAAAAAGATAGAACTAGCATAACTCATCAGATCAGTTTTGTTAATCTTTAACATTTAATACCAGTTGAATACATTGAAAATGTCACCAGATATTCATCATCTTCCTTTGGTGAAGATCTCAGCAAGGTATCTTTAAACACTAATGATACCAAATGGCCACCAACAATCACTTGGCCCAGAAATTTGAGAGGTTCCTTCTTTATTAATAAGACATGCCAATTTGTTTTTCAATGAAGAGATAGAAGCAGATAGATAATATAGGTGGAAGGTAATTTGTTAGTCAGAAGAGATGGTTTTAGAAAGACTTGGAGAAAATTTTTTACTCCTTAATCAAAGGAAAAGAGGCATTCTTACTCATAAAAGATTATCTTTATCTCAGTGACCTAACTATATATAGATGGAAAGAAATATGCAAACAAATCATCACAATGCCATGTAATGAGCTCAGCAATACAAGTACAGTCAGCCCTCCATATCTTTGGGTTCAATCAACTTCAGATATAAGATATTTGGGGAAAAAAAGTTTCCACAAAGTTCCAAAAAGCAAAACTTGAAATGCCATGTGCCAAGTACTATGTTGAATCCACACAAATGAATTGATATATAGGCATTATATTAAATAATCTACAGGTGATTTAAAGTATATGGAAGAATGTGCAAAGGTTATATGCAAATACTATGTCATTTTATATAAGGCACTTGAGTATCCTTGGATTTTGGTACCCATGGAGGTCCTGGAACCAATTTCCCATGAATACTGAGGGATGGTTGTACAGATAGTGCTGAGGAGTCACAGATGAAGAGCAGTTACTCCTGTCTGGAGAAATGATGGGGGAGAACAGTCAGGGAAAGCCTCAGAGGTGAAATAACACTGAGGAGGAGAGTTTTCCAGATAAAGGGAAAAAGATTAGGGCTAGGATGTGAATGAAGCTTGTTCTATCACAAGCTAAGAAATTTGGACTTTACACTATAGGCAGTGGGGAAGCACTGAATGTTTTTAAGCCAAAAAAGGATGTGACTATTGTTGGGTTTTTAAAAAGATAACTCTAGAAGCTTGTAGAATACTGGTTTTTATCAGGAATATGCATAGAAATCATCAGGGAAGCTTTCTATAAAATAAGATACCCAAGGCCTACCCTCAGTTTAGTGAATCTGAATTTTTAGGGGTAAGGGGATTCTTTCTAAAAACCTTCTATGTAAAAATCATTTATGGAGGATAGATTTGGAAGAAAGAGGGAATGGAAGGCCAGGTTAGAGGTTATGGCAATTGTCCAGATCAGTGATTATAAGGGTGGACAGTGGTAGTAAAGGAGGGGTAGAGACAAAAGGAAAGATATGGTGACTGATTAAGTCCACAGGTTGGGGAGTAAAGAATAACTGAGATTTTTACTTTGGCTACTCAGTGGATAGTGATGTCAATATCCAAACTAGGAAACACCAAAGTAGGAAACAGGAATTTTGTGTTGGATTGATGGGGGACAGAATGAGCAGGTAGATAAGAGTGAATAGGATTTTAGTTTTGCAATTGTTGAGTTTGAAGTGCCATCGATAAGAATAGGTAAGTGGATGACTAGAAAGCAGCTGGAAATAGGAGAATGGAACCTACATGAAATGTCGAGTTTGAAAATATTTGAGTGTCATCATTTAAACAATAGCTGTTTATCTGAGTATTCTGATCACTATAAAGGTGCATTTATATTTACTGTTTTTAAATGGAGGAGGTTTGTGGAAATATCCAGTAAGAGGGCAGCTTAGAAAATGGGTACAGAAGTTTTAGTTATTGGGTAGACACACTATACAAGGTAAAAATTTAGCTTACTGGTAGAAATAATTTCCCTTGTGATCAGACCACTTCAATTCAGTTTGTGGATACTCTTAAAGATAGACTAATTTGAAATTAAAATTTCTACAAAATCTCTCTTAAGGGTTTTTAAATTATCTCTAAGAATAGATGATGAACAACTCATGCCTTTAAAATTTTTTCAGGACAGAAACCATACTTTTTTCATTTATTAAATTATTTTTTGTGTCTCCATAAAGTGGTAGGCACTGTGCTAGCTTCTGGGGATAGAAATTAAAAAGATGAAAACTTAAGTCTTACAAAGAATAAAAATTCAGAAAAAATAATTACAATGTGGTTAATATTTAATAGAAGTAAGAAAAACTGCTACATGCCATGGGAAAATATTGAGATCACCTCACCTCATAAAGAAAATTATATTTCCAGGGTACTAAAGAGTTAAATGTAAATGTTTAATTATATAAATTAGTAGAAAATATATGGGTCTATGACCTGAGAAGATTTTCTAATATCAAAAGCAATGGTAAAATTAGGAAGGAAAGGACTAATTAATTTCAACTGGTAAAAATAACAGCAAAGAAAAAAACAAATATGAGGAACTACCTAAATAAATGTGACACAGCAAGAATTAAATGCCTTAATACATAAGGGATTCACATAAATTTATAAGAAAACTATTAGGATTTCAATTAGATAAATGGGCAAAGTGAAATACATCTTCAAAAAGAAAAAATATAAATAATTGAAAATAAATTTATTTTAAAAGAGACCATTTTCCCTTACAAAATAATGATGTTTTTAAAAGTAATTCTTAAGCCTGAAGAGGGTTTACTGACACAGGTCCTTAATTTATTACTACTTAAG